GGGGGGGGGGGGGGGGGGATACTCATGTTTTGCATGCCTTATTTGCATGCCTTGGTCAGTTGTTTAAGGCCATCGTCCACAGTCCTCGAGAGGACGGAGAATCGTTCCCACGGGGCCGATAACCGATTGCATGTTCTTGCATGCCTTGGGTCAGTTGGTAGAACATCGTCCACCGTCCTAGGGAGGACGGAGCTTTGTTCCCAAACGACGGATCGCCGATGGTCAGTCCTCCCTTCCTACTTCGCCAAAGGGGTCTCAACAATATGTCCCTAACACGGGGAGGGCATGAGACTGAGGCAGGCAGACAGTAGCTGGAGGAGTCTGGGTGAACGGACGGTTAGATTAGTTGCAGCGGGTGCAGAGGAGCGGGGGGGAGGGGGCGGAGAGAAGCGATATGGTTGGTCTCGTTAAATAACTGCCGCTCACCGTGCGCATAAATGTAGCGTGGTACCACGTGGGGAATTGTCGTCGCTTGTGTAGAGAGAGCGGTCCGGTCCCAATGCCAAGGAAGATTTGGCGTCTGACATTAATTCTGGGCGTTTCGACGTCTGTCTAGCATTTTCTCGTAAGTTTTGATGGTTTTCCCCGATTTTGTGCCACTCAACGTTCACATCTGTAGAGCAGGGCACAAGTGTGCTCCAAGCCTTTCTTTGCAACAACAGCGTTTGATTTTTCGCTGGGGTTCTTGCTCTTGTTTCTTCGTGTTTGTTCGGTTGAACGAGCAAATATGTTCGGTTTTTCGGCACGCCGCCCTCCGCTTTGAATCGGTCCTCCAGTCGTGTCGTACCGCAGCAGGGCAAAAAAAACGTGCCATGTACAGTAATAGTAGTAATAGTCCTAGTGTTTAGTCCCCGGATTATTTGTTCATTTCTGTTCGCTTTTTTTTGTTCATTTCGTCTTCCTCTACTTGTAATTGACTCCACGAAGCGTAAATCACTGTGGTTCCCTTGGTTAGACTAAATCCATACGGAAAGGGAAACGTGATGGACAAGGAGTCACAGAAGACTTTTGGCCTGAACGCCACCACCCTTACAACGCCCGCCCGTTAGTTACTTGAAGCAGCACCCTAGAACAAACAACCTCACCACTATTATCCGCGAAATCGGACGTTTTGGTTGTATGTGCTCTGCACATACATACCGGTAGTTTGTAGGCCCCGTCGTTCGTGAGCTGTCGTTCGTGTCGACATGAGGACGTGTCGTCACATGCAGGCATGCATGCATGTCTTCGGGTACCAGGAGCAACGACTGAGTTACCTCCGAGGTGCTGGAGGCAACGAACAGCTGTAGGACGATCAATCAGTGATCGGTTCGATCCCCGGGGAGAAGAACATGCATGCATGTGTGTCCCTCCCTCGCGCTGACATGACTTTTTTTTCCGAAAGCAAAAAAGGAAGACAAAATCGGGCAACCTCTGTTGAGGCCTCGTGCGCCGGGGACGTGTGTGTAGGCTGGAAGACTTTCCCCGAAGGTCCATCCAAGTTCCCGTTCATGTTGCTGTGCATGGGACCTGACTCACGTTGCCCAGGATAAGGTGTTCAGTGGTTCGGCCCCTTCATGAACGGTCTACGCGGAAGAATTTTTTCGAGTGGTCCACCATGTATCTACGTTTTTTCCTGTTTTTTTGTATGCGAAGGGGAGGGTACCCGCCATTTCGTCCAAAATCAAGAGAACTCGATTTCGATTTTTCGAACGTCGTTGGTGGTGTATTTGATGATGCCCGACGTGTTGATTGGAATGCTGGCTCTTTTGGTCGTTGGTTGTGGTGACGGGTGTGGGTGAGGAGTACACACACACACCCCGCACATCTCCGTAAATACCAGCGGGTATCGTCGGAAGGTACCCAGGCGGCCCTGGGTGCTGCTCTTCCAGGCAAGCTGTCAGTTGGGGGCGTTTTTTGAAACAATCGTGCCGGCTCGACGAAATACAATGGGAGCATCGCTACCACCGTAGAGGTTCTAGAAGCTCTGCTGAAAGGGTGCGGAGATGATGGACAGTCCATCCCAGCACAAATAAACCCTTCACATCAAGCTTCTTGCGGCGTGTGCTCTCACGCGCACATGTATCGCAATACACGTGCGGGAGCCAGCCACAGCAGCTCAACTTCCACCACGTGTGTGCCAGCAGAGAATCACTTCTCCGCCACGCAAGATGTGCTCCTTGCCAAAGATCATCTTCACATTTTACCCCTCATTTATAATTTGCCAAGACAATCTAACCGCAACGACAAACGTGACGAGATGGAATCGCCTTGAACAACAAGAGGGAATCGCCTTCAACAAGAGACATGGGAGATTCGTGTGACCCCTTCTAGTCCAACTATAGCTGTGATGGTATTAGTATTCTACTTTTTAAATTTGAAAAAAAATCAAGAAACAAATAAAACGAACAAAGAATTGCAGACGTCTATCTCATCTGTGTAACGTACCCCAAGAAGGCTTCCATGCATGTAGTCGTCTAAATCCTACTACCTTTACGGGCTCTTCGACGAAAGGCTCTACATGCCTGCCGCGCCCCACCCTCCCTGTATCTATGATGGCATGGTTCACCTTCTTAGGCGTAACGTTCCAAACCCAAGAGAGACGTTTTGTCATCTGCGCCCCCCGCCCCCCCCCCCCCCCCACGGAATTTCCCCAACTTCCACACCCCTCTACCAATCAACATCCAACTTCCAGGGG